ATCTAAATATTTTGTGAGAATCGTTCTCATGATTTACGCAAATTTAAAGGCTTGACAACTTTTGCTATATCTGCTAGTAATTTGCTTCAAACGATTCCTTTTTTCCTTTATAACATGTTCTCCATTGAAAATTATTTTGGATTTATTATTTTGAATTTATTGCACTGGTACTCTCTTTGTTTTATTAAAATAAATTGCTTTCAATTTTTCTGACGTTTCTGTTATTTCTTCTTTTTGACTAATATTATATGGATACATTTATGTACAGAAAAAATTATCCGTGTTTATAATTCATCCTATTTTTATTTTTTATGTTTTTTTTTAAATAAAAATATTTTTAAAACAGTATTTGACACAATAAAAATAAAAAATAAAAATAATTTTTTAATTTAATATAAAATAATAGAGAAATAAAAAATAATTTTTAATCATTTTTTATTTTTTATTTTTATTTTCTCTTCTTTTAAACAGAAAAAAAAAATATTAATAAGTTTTTTATATTAAATTTTTTTTAATAAAATTATTAAACATATTTTTAAAAATAATTTATATTTAAAATTAAAAACGTTTTTATTTTTATTTTCATATAAAAAATAAAATTATTTTAATACAACTTCAAACAAATGCGTCGCTCTCCTTGTCCCTGTCTATACCACCCCCTTTTCGGCCATCACATTGGCATCTTGCGGTGGATAAATAAACAAATTTACCCTTAGTAAGAGCCATACACACCAGATTAAAAACAAAAACAAAAAAAGAAACCAGATCTGAAAGTTGTTGCATCGCTGGCGTGAGGGAGGGGATCGCCGACAATCAGATCGCAACGGCGGGAGCTATTGGGTGGCATCCCACCGCCATGAGTCGCGACGGAAATTGGGACCCATCGCCATCGCGACGTAGTATCTAGTGTTGTTTCCATGAAACCACGATATGTGACCGTCCTTTTCAATGTAACGGTTTTAAAAAAAGTCGATATGCGAATCCGTACTGTACAAGTTTTTCTGTTTTAAGTTTATGTTCTTGGAATTTGGTTTCTTAGCTCTTTAAAAAAAAAGAAAAAAAAAAGAAGGGAGTGAGAAAACGGCAGTAGTGTTAAAAAAAAAAAATCCCTTCTAAGCCTGTAAGGCTATAAAGCTGGCAATATAAGTCACAATACGATACGAATTTTATAGATTAAGATTGAGAAAAAAGAGATTTAGATCAAAATTAAATCAACTGAAAATATTAGTCAATTTTGAGTTAGACCTATTTAATCTGAACACGACACAAAATTCATAAAAATAAAAAATATATATTTTTCATTATATATTTTAAATTTTATTATAAACTTGTGATATCATAACAGTTATACTCAAAATCTTATATTATTATTTGCTTAATTTTAATAGATGCTATTGTATTTTAGTGTGTTGTAAATTTTAAGTTATTTTTAATATGTAAAAAACTAAAGAAAAATATATAATTTTCTTGTCAATTTCGGGTTCACATGTCAATTTGGTGTTACGAGTCATTTTCGTGTCATGTCAATCTGTAAAGTGATCGTGTCGTTTTCATGTTACGGTTTTTAAAAAATCTCGAGTCATAAATCGTGTTCGGATTGATTGTAAATTTAAAAAAAAAATAAAAATAAAACACGACACATACAGAATTACCACCACTAACCAGCATCTCCTTGTTTTCATTCCTTCATCACTTCAGCGGCCGTCGCCATCAGTTCCTCTCTCTCTTCATCTTCTTCTCTTTCATTAGTTCAAGAAAATGCCAAGCACAAGAAAGTCTAGTTCTTTCGATACACCAACGGCTCTCTCTACAATACGCAATCTTCAATCGAAGAAAATACATGGTTTAGTGAGCAGCAGACTGATTTAGGTTTGTCAAGGTTTTTATTTTTTATTTTTTTTTTTATGTGGGTAAAATTGTGTTTTGGATTTGAACCTGTGCAAAAGGTGCTGCTAGTTACTTTATTAATTCTGAAGGGACAACACTAAAATATGTTTTTTTTTTTGTTTTTTGGGTGGTATAGGCCATACAAGCACGAATCTCACTCTGCCGATTACTCTCTTCTGGTTTGGTTTCTGTCAATTCTCTCGATATGGATGATGGTGAAGATGAAGACAAGGAGAAATGGTTTATTATTGGTGTACGATACCTATACTTGTCTTCAAGTTCAACTGCAAAACACCTCAAATGCCATCTAGGCCTTGATGAGGTAGGGGCAGAAAGAGTAATGGATTGTAAAGATGGTTTAAACTTTAAAGGTCAATCTTGAATCTCTTAGGAATGAGTTTTGAGATTTTTCCCGTAAATGCTACTGAGGAGCAGCTAAAATATCACGTTGTAGCATACTTATTATTTATTTTGGGGAAGGTTTTATTGGGTGACAACGCTGCATATGAAATTTCTGTGATGTGCCTACTCCTAGTTTTAAACGTTGTAAATAACTATGCATGGGGTGTATTAGCTAATATCTATGCATCAATTATAGGGGTGGTAATTCGTGTCACGTGTCGTGTTCGTGTCGTGTTTTAATCATTTTTTTTAAATTTACAGTTAACTCGAACACGGCCCGTGACACGAAATTTTTTAAAAACCGCAACACGAACACGACACGACCACTTTACGAGTTGACACGACACGACCCGAAAATAACCCGTGACACGAAATTGACCCGTGAATCCGAAATTAATACGAAAATTGTATACTTTTATTTAGTTTTTTACACATTAGAAATAACTTAAAATTCATAACACACTAAATTACAATAACATCCATTGAAATTAAGCAAATAATAGTATAAGATTTTGAGTATAACTATCATGATATCACAAGTTCATAATAAAATTTAAAATATGAAATGAAAAATATATGTATTTTTTAGTTTTTTACGAGTTTCGTGTCGTGTCAATTTCAGGTCGACCCGATTCTGACCCGAACATCTTTTTTCTCAACCCTAACCCGCAAAATTCGTGTAATTTTCGAGTCGTGACCCATATTGCCGGCCCTAATCAATTGAGACTGTTGTGCAGTTTCACATCATCTGGAGATGAAATTAGGTCCCGATTTATAAAAAATGACATCATTTCTTATATGATATGGGACCTTTTTTTGGTGAAGCTCAAAAGTAAAATTGTGCAGACTCAGCTTAAAGCGGATAATATCATACTAAATAAAAATGCGAGTCGTTACATTATCATAGCATAGCTAAAAATTCAATAAAAGGCTTCTCCTACGTTCTAATGATAAGGTCACTTACATTTAAAACTTATGAAAGTAATATATTATGATCACTAATTCAATCTTTTGTAAAACTTTTTTCTCTTACAGGTTTTTGCATTAGAACGTTGTAAAAATAGCCTCTAATTTGTTGAATGAAAAAGGAGTGGAAAGACCCAATAGTTTTCAAAAATAATGCAAATAAAGTGTTTGACATTTTTTTTGAGAAGATGTTTGCCAACTGAGGTTATTTTAGTATTCGTTTGACATTGTTTTTAGATGTTGTTGTTGTTTTTTTTTTTAAAGAAGTTAAACAGGTTAAGGTGTTCAGTAAATTTTACTTTTGTTCAATAGTTTCTTAAAAATGCTACCTAACAACAAAATTTGAGAAGCAGTACGGGTTTGCTTTGCATTGTCAAAATTTCCTAAGATAGTCTTAATAAAAAAAATTAATTCTCTATATACTCATTTTATTTTTTCATATAAAAAATTAAGAAAAATACATATTTTAAATATTTAACTAAAATTCAAAAATCTTTAATAATTATATTATGTTAAATTTACTCAAATATTTTGATAATTATAAAAATTATAAAAAATAACAACAATAAAAAAATTAATAATTTATTTTTTAGGAATATTCTAAATAATAAATTAAAATTATGTTTTTTAGTATTTTTGATATAAAAATATTAATATATTATGTTAAATTTTACTAAAATATTTTAATAATTATAAAAATATTAAAAAATAACAACAATACAAAAAATTTAATAATTTATTTTTTAGGAATATTCTAAATAATAAATTAAAATTATGTTTTTTTAGTAGTTTGATATAAAAATGTTATTGATATTGATCTCAAAAATAGAAATAAAACTAATTATACATATGTGTGCACACAATTTTATTAAATAGCTTACTAACTGCTTAAAGTTTTACTTCTTGTATTTAGAGAAGCTTTGAACCAATATTTACTAAAAACTTATATTTTTTTTTGTCTTAACAACTCCTGACTGACAATATAATAATAGTGAAAATTTTCAACAACACAATAATATTAAATTGGTTCTTAATTAGTGTGAGTTGTTTTTAACGTATTAAAGTCTCGAGTTAAAGTGTGTATATATATATATATATATATTTAACAAAAGAAGAAATAAAGGAAACACAAGCATTTTGCACATTTGCTTATGAATTTGTAAGGTTTCTACAACTCAAACTGTAACACAAAACTTTCAATTATCTAATTCTCAAATTCGTCAAAAGATGGAAAAATTTGAGAAGTTGGTATAATGTGACAAATTACAATAATTCTATAATTGAGGTGAACTATTTGTGAAACTTAAAAGTTTAGAAAAAAGTCGTCAAAACCTACAATCTCAAGGGGTAAATTTATTAAAAAAAAAAAAATATTGGAAATGAAACGAACAATGAAACTCACAGCATATCAAAGGGAAAGACCTTAGACAATCAAAACGAACTGTCTGTGTCTTGTATTCTATGTCTCGGTGTTATTCAGTTTGTAAATTTAAAATTTTAATTTAAATAAGTGTGATTTAATATGATAATTTTTTATTATAAGAAAAAAATTTAAAGTTGTTTGGTATCTAGATTTGTTCCTTAATTCGAATTATAGTTTGTGGTTCGTTACAGTATTTTTTCTCATAAAAAATACACATAAATCAAAAATAATTATAATCACATGGAACCAAACGTCTAAATGTAATTTTTTATAAATAATTTGAATTATAATAAAATTAAAATTAATAAAATGAACAGGAAACGTCAGACTGGGGACTTTGCATTTCTCTCATCATCATCAGACCTAACCACCGTCTTCATCTTCATCGTCACCTTCGAGTTTAAGCTTATTCGAACTTTCTCTCTCTTTGAAGAAGAAGAAGAAGGAGAGAGAGAGAGAGAGAGAGAAAGATGGGAATACCGGCTACAATGGGCGCGGATCCACTGAGCGAGAGAGCAGCCATGATGAGAGAGTCCCTCCACAAGAGCCAAACCATCACCGACAACGTCGTCTCCATCCTCGGCTCCTTTGATCACCGCCTCTCCGCCCTCGAGACAGCCATGCGACCTACCCAGGTGGGTCCCTCTTCTTCTTCTCTCTCCCCGTTTGGTTCCTCTGAAAATTGGGGGAAGAAAAAAACGGAAATAAGAAGATTTGGGTATTTCAATTTATGCCTGATCTGATGTTTTGATGAGATTGTTTAATGGGTTTACTTTAATTTTGGATGGGGAGTGCAGATTAGAACCCATTCTATTCGAAAAGCCCACGAGAATATTGACAAGACTTTGAAATCTGCAGAGGTTATTTTGGCGCAATTTGATCTTGCTCATCAGGTTTGTTTTACTTGTCTTTAAGTTCACAAGACTTTGAAGTCTTGATTTAGTTTAATAAGTTAAATTCTGTGTTAGTAGGAAATTGGTAACCATGGTTAGTACTAAGTTGAGATTTTTCTGAGTTTGGTATTCATAAACCTTGCTCTGTTAAAATCTCTCTAGGGATAATTTGTTGCATTTTGGATGGATGTTCTTCTGATCTTCAACTTTGTCTGAAGGGGATGGCAAAAGCACAATCCTTTTTTTGTAATTCTGATTTATTTATTTAATTTGGGCTGGTTCTTATTTTGCCTTTTACGGTGAAAATGAACCCCTTTATATCAGTCATATTGATGGTGCGGCCAAGTTTTGAACTTTGAGCTGAAGGTGTAAATTGAATTGTGCGTTTTAATAATGTCAAATGGCTCTGTAATGGTATTGGTTTTGACTTATTAGAGAGCTTCCTATTTTCAATTTACTCCCTTTCTAAGGATTGATGCTATCCTGGTTCTTGTTCTTGTTCTCCTTTTGTTTTGTTTTGTTTTGTTTTTGTTTTTGTTTTCAATAGTTGCACTGTGTCAGTGGTCTCGTCATAAAAACATTTATCTTTCTGCCTATTTTCTCGTAATATTAACCTTAGATGTATTGAGTATGGTACCCCATACATAAGTTATTGATGCTGCCAGGACTTGGCTAAATTAGTTAAAATATGAATCGTCTACTGTGTTACGTTAAACGTAAAGTATAACCTTATCATTTAACATGTAAATATTCTTGTCATTTTATGTTATGATGTTTCATATTTATCATAGTTCCTGTCATTTTCGTTCTCAATACCCAGGCTGAGACAACAATACTCAGAGGGCCGCATGAGGACTTGGAAAGTTATCTAGAAGCCATTGATCTGCTAAGAAGGAATATCCATTTTTTTAGTAGCAGCAAAGGTTTTAAGAGTAGTGAGGGAGTTATCAACCATGCAAATGGTTTACTTACAAAAGCTATTTCAAAGCTTGAAGATGAGTTTAAGCAGCAGTTAACAACTTATAGGTTTGTGTTTCCATGCTTACTGGTGCATTTTGTTCTGTTTCCAGTTACACTTCTTGTGCATGTCACCCTTGTCTTTTTTTAATCTTTGGAGTGAACTAGTGGTTTTGTGTTAGTAATGAAAGACTTATACTATCTAGTATGACTTCTGCTCCGTGCAATTGACATGGTCTATACTGATTTCTGGATGCTGGCTTCATTAGTGATGCATGTTATTTAACTGATTATTCGGGGAGAAAACTTTAGCTTTTATGGGGGAGCTACTATTGCAATTTGTTTATTCTTGCGTGTAAGCTTAGTTCTAACTTTAATATGTTTACCCTTGCTGTATTTCCAGCAAGCCTGTGGAGCCGGAACGCCTTTTTGATTGTCTCCCAAACTCACTCCGACCATCAGGGTCTCCTGGGAACCAAGGTGACGCTAGTGGCAATCATCCTTCTCATAGTCATTCAGAACATCATAACAATGATGCGGAAGCTGCTGTGTATACACCTCCCACTCTTATTCCGCCACGAGTTTTGCCTTTGCTACATGATTTGGCTGTGCAAATGGTTCAAGCTGGTCAGCAACAACAGTTAGTGAAAATTTACAGGTAAAAGTGTTCTTTTGTTCTCAGTTATTAAAGATAACACATTTACTTTTCTTGTCTCTATTATGCTTAATGGATGACTTGCGAAAGATGTTAATCAAAGTATGATAATATTTCTAGTGATGGATAACTGGTGCTCCATACGTATGGTAATATTTGTGGTATATTGATATTGATGAAAATGGGCGAAAACAATGTATGCCTTCTTTTAAAGCAGGATTTTTAGTAAAATAGAAAATGTTACAGCAGCTACACTAGTCTAATGCATAAAGTAGACTAAAAGCTCTTAAAAGTGTCGATATGGTGACTATGTACTTTGCATTTGCAATAGACTAGGTACACTTGTCTGACCTTAGAACTTGTAGATTTAGGTGCGAAATCTCCGTTTTGCTTACTCTCTCAATATTTGAGGACATTGGTAAACGTGGAAGAAACACAAACTCAGTCTTAAATATCAATACCAATGGTATGAGATGCTTATATATACTCAAAGGAAGGAGAACCAGTCATGCTGTGGCTAGTTTCTATTTGTTGTTGTTACTGCTGATATATTTTTTGATTTCCTGGAAGATTTTTCTTTTCCCTTTTCCATTGAGGCAAAGGGAAAAGAAAAATCTTCCGTATGTACTTGCTACTGTACTGTTATAAGTGGAAACCAGTATATACTTGCTACTGTTATTACCGATGAGTTTTAGTGGAAACCATTATGTACTTGCTACTGTACTGTTATAGTGTTATATAGCAACTCTAGAAGTTAGGGTTTGTTAAGTAAAATAGAGTTTGGATCATTCCGTCAAAAGGGCAGTGTAGGTGGGTTTTGAAGGAAGGGGTCAAGGGAAAATCTGAAAGCAGGTATTTTAAGAATTTGTTTTTTGTTATCTTTGGCCTTATTTAATTTCATTTGTTAGTGAAACGTTAGTTTTGGCTATGTTTCAGCAATCATTAGTAGTAAAAGGTTGCTAGTCAACTTTTAGATTCAATATTGTAAGATTTTTTTTCTGTTGGATCATGTGAAGAGACATTGCACACCATGTGATATCCACTCATTACATATCTCATAGCTTTTCTAAGTGTTCTTGTGTGTCAATGCAGTTGTTAAGTATCAAGAGACTGAACAAGTTATTAATCTCTCATTGTACTCAGGGATACCCGTTCTTCAGTTTTGGAAGAAAGCCTTCGCAAGTTGGGAGTTGAGAAACTTAGCAAAGATGATGTTCAAAAGATGCAATGGGAGGTTTTGGAGGCCAAAATTGGGAACTGGATTCACTTCATGCGCATTGCTGTAAGATTTAAACAATTGGACTAAATTCTAAGCTATTTCGTTGTTTTATTTTTTCCCCACTTAAAGTCCAATTATTCTTTGACAGGTCAAGTTGCTATTTGCTGCAGAGAGGAAAGTTTGTGATCAACTATTTGGCGGCTTTGATTCCCTAAGTGACCAATGTTTTTCTGAAGTCACTGCAAGTAGTGTTTTGGTTCTGCTTAGTTTCGGAGAGGCAATTGCTAGAAGCAAGCGATCTCCAGAAAAGTTGTTTGTACTTTTAGACATGTATGAAATAATGCGTGAGATTCATTCAGAGGTAATAACGAATTCCGTTTGTTCTATGCTTCTAATGCAAGTTATGAAAAGTATTTCTACAACTTTTACCTGGGCAATATTCCTGGATGGATAGTTCCACTGCTACCTTCAACGGCATTTCTTTGCTTTGTCTGCACTTGAATGGTATGTTTGATTGGTATGACAGGTCATTTATTAGTTTGTCTGAAATCGTCTGCAGATTGAAATGATTTTCAAAGGAAAAACTTGTGCCGAAATTAGAGAATCAGCATCAAGTCTGACTAAACGGCTTGCCCAGACTGCTCAAGAGACATTTGGTGATTTTGAGGAAGCAGTTGAAAAGGATGCAACAAAAACTGCTGTATTAGATGGAACTGTTCATCCCTTAACAAGCTATGTGATCAACTATGTGAAGTTTCTGTTTGAGTAAGTTGAGTTGTCCATGCTTTGAGTCTTTCGGTCTTCCCCATGCCCATATATTTGAAAGCAGATTCTATGTCATTGTAATGAACTACACGTATCACATTGCTTTATGATTTTGCTACTTAAGCTTTATTTTTCTTATAAATATCTTTTGCTTGATACAAAATTACATATCTACATGGTTGACCTACATTATCATTTTGCAGTTACCAGTCGACCTTACGACAACTTTTCCAAGAATTTGAAAATGGAGGTGAATCTGGTTCACAGTTAGCCTCAGTAACGATGCGGATAATGCAGGCTCTTCAAACCAATTTGGATGGGAAGTCTAAACAGTATAAGGATACTGCTTTAACTCACCTATTTCTCATGAACAACATCCACTACATGGTCAGATCTGTGCGCAGGTTTGTCTCATATGATTATTTTGCAGACATCTTCATTAAGATTTTGCAACCTTGTTTTACATGGTTTTCTTCTTACTGTTTTATATTCAGATCTGAGGCCAAGGATTTGTTAGGAGATGACTGGGTGCAAAGACACCGAAGGATTGTGCAACAGCATGCAAACCAATACAAGAGGATTGGTTGGGGAAAGGTGCAGCTCTTTTGACATTATCATCTATGTTCGGTGTAGACTGTGTTCTTGTTTTATTTGATCTATGTTAAAATCCTCCCTTTTTTTCCCTGTGTGTGTGTGTTGTGTGATATGTTAACTGTTTATAGGTAAATGGCTATTGCATTTTCTTTTATGTTGTGTTCTTTAATGTAACTTGGGTCACTGCATGTGTCATGGGTCGTTCTACACTGGAAATGTCCTTTTACTGAGCAATTTTAAATTGCACTCTGACAAATGCATGGTGGGACCACTTTTTATGTATGTAAATACATGATGTGTTCTCTTCATATTCTCGTGGATACACTAGATACACGAACACATAATATTATATCTGTACGTCATGTTCCCTGGGCATGGATGATCACAGCTAGATATCCATGATTAACTCGACTTGATTAGGCCTTTGACACCACAATATTTATTTAGTTCTTTATTTTCTATGCCGAGGTTTGAACCTTGGACTTAATGATGTAAGATGAAAGCTTTACCACCTGTTGGGTTTAAGCAATCTTTTTCAACCAATTCTTTTTTTGCGAACAATCTCCACCTTATTTCAATACTTTCTTGCCACTCTTAACATGTTACATTAGGTTAATATTTGTTTACTTTATGCACTTGAGTTTACAAATCTATTTTTACTATGAATATCTGATAATGTTGCTAGTCTTAGCTGTTTCTATCTTTTTATCGTTTTGGTCCATGTTTCTTTAATGTATTCTGGTTTTCTACTGTCTGATATGGCCTCTCCTGTTGATCCTGCATACTGTTTCTTTTCCTTTACTTTTCTATATTGAATTTTTTTTTCCTGTACACGGTTTCTAATGTTATATTGTGGTTGCTAAAGATTGTAAGTAGCAGATAATTAGAGCAAAAAGGTCTCAGAAGTATAATTAATTCTCCAAGCAAGTTATGTTACGTCATGAATACTGTGAATCTGAGTTTTAACCTTGTTTAAACTTGTGGTGCTTTCTTTGCAGATTCTGCAATGTCTCTCTATTCAAGGTCTGACTTCATCTGGAGGAAGTACAGTAGGTGGTGATGGAGGAAATAGTAGCGGAGTTTCGAGAGCATTGGTTAAAGACAGGTTTAATATGACACCTAACTATATATCTAAATGTTCATTTATGCGCACTTTTTTTTTTCCTCTTTTCTTTTTTCATGATTCTTTCGTCTTAGCTGCATATTTGCAATCCATTATCAGGTTCAAGATATTCAATATGCAATTCGAGGAACTTCATCAAAAACAATCTCAATGGACGGTTCCTGACACCGAGCTACGTGAGTCACTAAGGCTTGCCGTGGCCGAAGTCCTATTACCCGCCTACCGGTCCTTTGTAAAACGCTTCGGGTACGTTTTCTATAAAAAATTTGTATTTGTGCCTACTTAGTTACACACATGCAAACAATTGTTTATGCTTAAAGTGTCCCATATGTGTGTCAATCTTATAATATATGATTGTGCATGTAAAAAATTCATCAATGGGAGTTCATATTTACTGATTGAGTTGACATTTAATTTTCTTTATGACAATTATAGTCAAATTGACCAAAATGGATAAACATATTTTTCATTGGTTTTTCTTTCAGACCTTTGGTTGAGAATGGGAAGAACCCGCAGAAGTACATAAGATACTCTGCGGAGGATCTTGAACGAATGTTGGGTGAATTCTTTGAGGGAAAGAACTTGAATGAACCCAAGAGGTAGATGGAGGCCAGTTTGGTGAGACAAGGTTAGCATTCATCTTTCTTTTTCGAGGCCGTTGAGTTCATGGATTGTTCCTCGGTGCTACTTTTAGCTTGGTGGCTATTGGATTCAGGCGGGCATATTCATCTGTCTTTTACATGCTTTTGAAGGATGTGTGAAAGGTAAATATAGGTTGATGATGGCTTTATTTTTCTATCAAATAAAGCCGTCGGTTGTTTAGCCGAATGCTTTGGTAGTGTGGTTTTGTATCAAGTGTATATTTGTATTTGTATAAAGAGAATTACAAAAATTGACTCTTAAACACATCAATATGAAGTTCTATCTTTTTGTTGTGATAAGCTACCCCTTTAATAATAATCTGTTAAATTATAGATAATAATTTATTAAATTTTAGACAATAATTTGTTAAATTATGTCCGGCGGCGGCGGCGGCGGGTCTTTGTATAAATAATTAATCTTGGCCCAGCACTTTCCATTTGATGCAGTTTTTTATATTGGTTTTTTTTTTTTTCCTTTCCTTTTTTCTTTCTGTCTTTTATAGAGTGCAATTGAGTTTGCTAAGGTCCTTTTATTTTTTATTTTTTTTTGGGTTGTTAGAATTGAGTTTTATAATAGTCTTGCGTGGGTGCAAAACTGCCAATGATCTGTTTGTTATACAAGAGCTGTGGATTTCTCACTTTTAAGTCGGTAATAAAATTAGGAATTGGTGGGGTGTGTTGAGAAAACCGCGATGACCAATTGATCCAAACCAAAGCAAACCGCTATCTAATTTCGAATTAATGGGCGGTTTTGGGATGTTTTAGAGTTTTATTTATTTATTTTATTATTTTTTTAAAATGTCAGACTGCCCAAACTATCAAAAAAATATATTATATAAAAAATTGAAGCATAAGGGTTTTTTTTAAAATTATTTTTTTCATACCATTTTAAATAGATTATGTAACTTGTAGCCAAGCCAATGAATGTGCAGCCCTTTCGCCATGGCGTTTTGATTGAAAACTTTATATTTATCGAATGCAAGTGACTGTGGAAAAAAAAAAGACAGTTTAAAAGGAGAGTCGACTATTGATGTTAAGACTACGAAAGCCTCCGCCGCAAGCCGGAGAAGGCGAACGTGAAACTATGATCAGTTCATAATGAGGGGTGCGGAGACATTCAAGAGTTCCTTGACTTTTGCTGGTAATGCGAACGCGGAGAGAATGAATGGGGACTGCCATGTAGATGAGAATCCCATACAGTCGTGACGTATTTTTTACTGGATTGGTTAAAAATGAGGACGAGAATTGACTATCTCCTATAATAATTTTAATGTGGTACAAAATTATGGTTTTCAATTTGACTTTTTGTTTTATCCTTAGATTTAACTAGTAGTTAAAAAACATGTTGTGTTTTGATCAAGAATGTCATTGTATTTGTACTTCATTCTATTTCCAATGCGGTACATCCTGTGCATTTTCTTCATATCTCTACATATAGCTTTGATAGATTGTTAGTTTCGAAAGTGCCGATTCCAATCCAGACCATGAAAGGGATTAAAGTAAAAAGTAACAACAGAAAATCTAAGTAAAGTTTTATCTTTGCTTAGAGAAATACTGGTCATTGTACTTTTTTATTACACATATCGTACATTTAAACTTTGAAAGAATCTAAAGAATTGAAGAATTGAGTTTGTGAAGATATGATTTCATTACTTCCAAGTGTTGAGCTTAAATATATGAATCGGGAACAAAAATAGTTTTCATCCTGATGGGAATAAAACTCCATTACTCATAAAATAGTGGGTCTCACTAGGTTGGGTCTCACTTACCCACCTAACGGGATCCACCTTGTGTGAGTGGCGGAATTTTAACCTAATCAGAATGAATCTGAGTACGACTAGTAAAAAATTTTTTTTTTTCATGTAAATTTTTTTTTGACTTGTAAATTTTTTTTTTTCACGTAAATAAAATTTTTTTATCACATATTATTTTTTACCATACGACTAGTAAAAAATTTTTTTTTTTCATGTAAATTTTTTTTTGACTTGTAAATTTTTTTTTTCACGTAAATAAAATTTTTTTATCACATATTATTTTTTACCAGTCGTTAATAAAATGTTTACACGGTAAACTGTTATATATTTTAAATAATTTTAAAATATGCTATTTTCGTTTTTCTTTTCATCTCCTCCAAAATTTAGGAGGAAAATGAAATAAAATTAGAAGAAAGTCAAAATTGCATACCGTTGGTCGTTGGCCTAAGAGTCATACAAACCACAGGAACCATAGAAATTGGAAAAGAAACAATGGACAAGCAATGGCCACGCTAAACGCCAGGAAGCTATGGCCAACAATTGCCATTGCTCCTTCTCCTTCTCTTATCGTCCTTCTCAAAGTTTCACCCTCTCTTTCTTTCCATTTTCAACCAGATCACAATCAGAACTCTTACCATCTGGGCAGAGTATTATCAGAATCCGCAATGGGTAAAATTACTACAGTTTGTTAATTTGACTACTAATTTTTTTTTTTTTTCCTTTTTTGTCAAAGTTTTGCATGAATTGATGATGTGTGGATTTTTAATTTATTTTGAAGGCAAGGAACCCGAAATAACAGTTGAAGAAGGGTGCAGATGCAGCAATGGAGTACACGAGTTCGTTTCGAAAAAGCGTCTCGCTGATGATATAATCCCTCAAATTCTTAACCTGTATGTCCGATCTCTTTCTCTCGTAACGTGTGGATACGTATCTGGTTTTTGGTATATTTCAGAAATCTGGAGCTTATTATATGACTAAAATTGTATTCACTAAGAGGAGTGTAGAAATGGGTTTCAGCTTAAATTTTATTCTCTCTTTGTAGAATTCTGTTTGCTTATAGAAACTTTGATCGGTTTATGAGGTGTTTGATTATGGGATCTTTTATCAGAAATAAAGAACCTGAAGTTGGTTTACCTCCTGTGAGCTAATAGCTTTTTGGAGAATTGATAAACTAACATGGTATTAGTACATATAGTTTTAAGTCTCAACCGTTGCAAATGCACACATTCATGATTAATTTATCGGTGTTGCGTCAATCCGCACAGTCCACGCTACATGCGATCAAAAGGATGAATGAGAAATAAGTACTAATATACTGTTGGCTCACCTCCTAAACAGTTTAAACTTTTGAAAAAATTTTTAAATTAACACTAACAACTCAACATTTCATCTCTTTTTCCCAGCTATCGCCGCTTGCCAGGGCACTAATGTTAAGTCCTGGCTGCAAAATGTTGAAATCTAGAATACATGTTCATCACAGAAATATCATCCCCCTACTAAGCTGTTGCTCGAATTCAACTAAGTTTACTCTATTTTGGGACAAGTTGATGGATTAGTTATTTAGATTTTATTATCATGTAAATGTAGAGCTTAAGGCTGTTGATGGACAAGACCGCTACATAGTTTGGAAAATTCAAATAATTGGTAACTTGGTTTTTTTTTTTTTTTTTTTTTTTTTTTTTTTTTTTTTTTTTGTCAATAGGGTATCAGAAAAATGCTTCGGGTATAGTTCAGTTATTCTTCTCCATTTCAGGAAGAAAGAAAATTTATGACACTCTAGAAGCTTGATTGGAAGGAGCCTAGGTGGGAAAAGTGGAAGGAGGGATATTGTAGGAGGTATGGCTGTTTGGTAGGAGAGAAAAGAGGAGGGAATGGATTGGGGGAGAGTTTCAAATCGTTCAATACCGCAAATTTAATCAAGATTAGAGGAGGGTCTCCATACTAAACACAACAAGAGAGAGATCATTTCTCTCTCTCTTTTCCTCATCTCGGTTATATATCTTTTTTTCCTTCCTATTTTCTTTACTGAACCCTTTCTTTCGCAGTCTGCATAAGGTTTCTTATAGCCTACACAGCTATCAGGTTCTTTAGTTGTATAGCAAGCAAAACATTTGTGACAATATTTTATACATTGTACAGAGGAAATATGCGCTTGCTGGAGTATTTTGTTCGTAATGCTCGTCGTAATTGGAAGAACTACATCATTTTCATTTTATATCTACAAAATTGCAATTTACATGTTTTCCAAATGTTCAGATACGCATCCAGTGCGACACCTCGTGACTTCGAAATCTATGCTCCGGATGCTTCGTTTGAGGACCCACTTATGTGTGCACGCGGGTATGTATATAAAGAAATCGCAATTCTTCTTGCCTTGTTTTCTTTTAAGGAAAAATGGATATTCTTCTATTGAGTATTACATTCAAGTTATAACTCTGCATTTCAAAATGTTGTGCCTCTTTTTTTTTATTATTTTTAATTCATTTTCTTTTTTTCTTAGAAGTAGAACTATGCATATGTTGTTAGATGAGAAAAAATAATTAAACTTTTTTTTTCCCCTTTTTCCCATCAGAGGTATTTATAAACTAATGAGAGTAAAAAGTTGGTGTACAATCTAGACATCTGAGTGTTTCATTTGTTACCTTAAAGCTAAGTGAGGGCAGAACTATGCATATGTTGTTAGATGAGAAAAAATAATTAAACTTTTTTTTTCCCCTTTTTCCCATCAGAGCTATTTATAAACTAATGAGAGTAAGAAGTTGGTGTGCAATCTAGACATCTGAGTGTTTCATTTGTTACCTTAAAGCTAAGTGAGGGTATTGTGTCTATATGATGAGGAAAACCATTTTAGTAGATTTGACTACCTGTCCTCATTAAGTTGTTCTTAGAGGTGAGAGATGGTATTTGAGTCCTTACCTTATTGGGGATAGTATTTCTGTTTCAGCAGGGCATCTCATAAGTAAAATTTATTGAATCCCAAGATAAAGAAATGGACTAATCTTCTCTCCATGAGGACATAATTGTGAATTTCAATATTGAGTGAAGAACAAATAGTAATTTTCCCATAACATGGGGATACAACTGAAATTTTCGAAAAAAAAGGTTAAGTGTAAAGATTAAAATTTCAAAAGTTAAGTGGAGGCACGTGCCTCGACTGAAGTACTGAGTGTTTGTGCCACTTATAATAAGTGAGGCTAAAGAAGTTAAATTTGCCTCATGATTTCTAATTTTGTTTTTGCAGGGTGAAGCAGATCAAATCAGCATTTTATTCACTTTCCAAGGTTCTATTCTATGATGACTAGCTGATATTCATTGAACAGGCCAGATTATTAATCAACTCAATCTTGAAATCACAGTCAAGGAAAAGGACAGAACAAGTATTTGTAATATTAACACTAATTAAATGCCATTAGAGGCATCAGAAGCTATTTGATTAAGTTTTAGACTATGCTTGTTAATCCAAGAAGGACAGACATGATATTATGCTTTTTAAGACTGATTTCAGTTCTCATTTCATTTGTTATATTCTTCATAGTAACTTTCTTTGTTTTATTTATTTATTTATTTGCTCCCATTGACTCTCAGGTCTTCGGTGAATCAAGAATTGTGGAATACAGTGTTGAAGAAAAGTTGACTTCACCAGGAAAGGGAGAGGTTCATATTACATTTGCAATACTATTACCACTGTTTCATTTCTTATTCTTATGGATGTCATTTTTTTGCGCCAAAATTTGCTCTGAGATTTAAATCCATTTGTATTGAATCCAGATACTAATTGATAACAAACAGTACTACAAATTCTGGGGAAGAAACATAGACGTGATATCCCTCATCAAGTTGTATGTTGCTGATGGAAAAGTAGTTCGCCACGAGGATTGGTACGCTCTAAACTGAACTCTACTAAGCATTTTTACCTGAGTAGTATTTGGCGTTGTTTTCCTATCAAGTTTTCACAAAGTGGCAAGCTATTCCTTAGAACTTTTAATCTTAACAAATTACCCCTGAATTTAATCATGGGACAGAATGCCCCAAGTCAATGACAACTAATAGAGTTTTGGCTCATTTGAAAGGCACAGATTGATACTATTTGATGATGACATAGAACATCATGTCATGTGCTAAAGGGCGTTTACGTTAAAATTTTAACCATTGGCATCGATTTGAGAGAACTTGGCAATTCTTCATTAGATTCAGGGGATAAACTTTTTAAAATTAAAAGTTTAGGGGACAACTTGCCAATTCTCAAAAAGTTAAAGAGGCCAAAAGACCAAAAACCCAGACTATAATCATGCTCTTGGTAATTACTACTTCTTTTTTCCTTCAACAGAATACTTTTATTGAACTTCAAAATCGTCCATCTTCTATTTCATATTTTTCCTCCAATATAGTAACCATGAAAAAATTATTTTTGTGGATACCATGTTAAACAGAAGCCTAGTTATAAGATGCTGGGTGTGTGTTTTCTTTAAATAAGAGTTGAGAATTTACACTGAGAAACATTGCAGAGGTTCAGACATCATTATAATTCTTTAAAAAATGCTAGAATCACTCTTTCTATCAATCTCTGCATTTATTGTTTAACAACTCTACTATCTCATTTTCTGTTTAAAATAATATTATACAATGTTAGTAGAGTTCACGTGTCAAACAGTAAATATAGAGCGTGACAAAGAGAATGATAAAAAAAGCGATGCTAGTATTTCTCTAGTTCTTTTTCTAAGTATTCGAATGCAAAGATATAAAAACAAATGGGTTGGAGATGAATCTGTGACATGACTTCTACAGTTCCAAACCAATTTGTGGTTAAACCTGCACGGTCCAATGCTTATGCTATCAAAATCTGTGAAACTTAATAGCTTAAGCTGCATAATTTGGTCTGTGTTTTAGGAAATATTTCCTATGTGTACTATAATACCTGAGCAGAAAATGTACCAAAGTTGAAAGCATCATATTAAAGAAACAATCTGAGCCATTAGTGAACGTTGCCTTTGTTTTTTCATATCAACGTTCAACCGACAAATATTTCAACAAATGAGATCGTTCTTAAGCCTCATCCAATGGCTGAAAAACGGGAAGCATGTACAGATAAATGGGACGTACCATACTTTTACTCAACACTTGCATCCTAGTTTGTCAATAATGTTGTTTACTTGGGTTTTTTTTCAGTCAGATGATCAAGATTCTAACATGAAAGATATGTAGGTGGGACAAGAAGCCCCTTTTGAACAGGGAAACAGCTAAGCTGCCACTTATTGGCCGATTTATCGAAATCGCTCGAAGAGGTTCGATGCTGGCTACTCATGCAATGATGGGGTTTGGGGAGGATCCAACCAAGTGAGGTCACTTCTAAAAGAATGTTTGTGCCAACTTTTTCATCTTTTAAGGTGCACGGATTTATTTATTGTTGAGGAATTCAGCAGCCTCTGTTTTCTGCTATGGTTGTGCTAGGAGTTTGGGAAGTAAACCAGATTTCATGCATTCTTGAGCTTATATATGTAATAAATGTATATGTAGCATATCCACTGATTGTATGTGACACCTTTTTTTTTTCTTTTCTCCTTTTAGATTCATAGGTCATTCCAACACTTGATGAGTATAACTTTGTAGCTCTATTATAATTCTACAACTTTATGTTAAAAGTGTGGTGATCCTTTGTGGAAACAAGTTAATCTGCTTCAGTTTGGATACATCATTGAATAAGAGCTGTTAAGTTTGGGACAGTCCTTTATTTATTTATTTATTTTATATTGGACTAAATAACACCTAAGTAGACTTCAATTTACTGGAATTTTTTTTCCTGATATTCCTTGAGAAGTTCTTAGCTTCATCAAGATGAAGCATCAAGTTGGAAAAAGAGAAGAAAAATCAAATTCTATAACGATTGCAATGCCAAAATACTTGATACATAGATGACAAGTTAAGCTTCAAGAAATGAGATAATATAAGAGCTTTTAGTGTAGTTAAGCTCCAAATTAAACTGAACAAATTGAGTTCCTTGTTCATATAAAATATAGTGTTTTTTTTTTTTTTTTTAACTTGGTATTTTGAAAATTTAGTTTGAGTCATGAGTAAATGAGTTAATGCTGGACTGTGCACATGGCAGAATCTATCTCATTCTCTCAATAAAAATGCTTCTTCAAAGAAAAGAAAATGACCAAACAATCATTGAAAGCAGCATCATAACATTGCAAGTAAAATAAAAAAAAACTTCATCATACATTCTCCTTAACTTTGATGCCATCCTTTTCTTTTTGACTGGTCATCTCCAACACCTTTTTTGCCTTTAAACTTAACAACCCACCAAAACCAAGGCCACATTCCCTCTCTCTCTCCAATAATGTATTAATGCAGGGTGATCCTTCGAGCTAGAGAGAGAATCATATGAAGTTCATGATCAATTAAGAACCCAAAAAGTTAGAGAGAGAGAGAGAGAGAGAGAGAGAGAGAGGATATTTCAATTATGGATTGATTATATTTCAGAGTTTTGGGGATCTGAGCTAGAATTTTCCCATACTTTCATGCAAAAATTTTCTTTGTAACATAAAAGAAGAGCTTTTAAAAGGTGATGCCCTTGTGATAAACAGCCGTTACCTGCTTTGTTTCTCTCTTTCTTTCAATCTTTACTTCTTTATTTTTTCTCTTTCTATAAAGACTGCAAAAGCTAAACCTGTGGAAACTTTGTCTGCTTGCCATCTTTTGATAAATGCCACAGCTTCTCTCTCTCTCTCTCTCTCTCTCTAATGAAAAGTTTGAGGTGTGGAATTTAGTAGTTTTGGATGAGACAGAGTTGCAATTAAACAGAAAAGATGCATTGCCTTTAAAAAGTTTGATTTATATTAATTTGAATACTTATATATATATATATATAGAGCATTGATGAGCCCTAAAAAGAATACAACTAGGAGGGGTCCATATACTTTTGTGTATATGTCTCTTTTCCATTGCCTTTTTCCAAAACGTAATCATTTCTAGATCATATTTTTCTAAGATCATATGTCCATGACGGCTAGATCAGCCCATATCTTCTTTGTAATCAAAGAACCTTTAAGGGGCATTTGGATATGTGCACTCCAATAATAAGTTGTTGAATGAAAATAGTTCTAATAATAACAAAAACAACAAGAAGAATGTCTTAGTGAAAAGAAAGTGTCGTTTTATCTCACATCCCTTTCGTGTTACATATATGGCCCTCTTGATTCAAATTATATAATTAGTCAAATCTTGCAAAGCCAAAGAAATATAAACCACTTAATATTATGCAAAAGTTAATGAATATGAAATCCAAAAAAAAAAAAAAAAAAAAAAAAAAAACCCCTTTCAAAAAATAAGGAAGAAAAATGCAAAGGCCTACCATGAGCACTATAGTTAATTCTTTTTTTTTTTAAGGCACTAGTTAGGTAATTGGTGAGTTAGTCCTAAGCTAAATATCAATGAAGCATATATATAACACTATTAATTCACTTCAGCAAGGTAAGAAGGGCTGTTATTATCATTTCTTGATAAAATATCCAATATCATTGATCATACTCTTATAATCTTTTGTTATAAAAGATGAAAGGAAAGGAAAACTCTGAATTAATTAAGAATGGAAAAGATTATACACATGCACTTTCATGTATATATCTATGTTGATATACGTATGTGCGTGTCACTAAAAACTGTTGTTTTGTAAGTTTTTTTTTTTTTTTTTTTTTTGGTCTCGAGACAACCACTAAAGTGAAATTTTGGTTTTGTTTGACAAGGTAAATATTAAACCAAAAATATAACTAGTGCTTAAAAAAATACTTTGTGCTTTTCTTTAAACAAATGTTATCCTAATGTGGGTTTAGCTAGGATATATTACAAGAGGAGAGAGATATAAAAATTCCATATCCAATCGTACTTATTTATATATGACACCAATCATAATTACCTCAATGGATAACAACTTAATAGGCTGAAAGGCATAAATTTTCTAGCGACGCAATTAAATTTAAAAGTGTACACATTGGATCACCTAAAAGTAAATGACTAGTCGAAACTAAAAAGCACTCACAAAGAAGTTAAAATATTTCAAATTTCCATATATATATATATATAT